AGGGTGATAGCTTGAGACTCTGTCTCAAAAAAAAATTGTTTTAGAACCTAATGCTTTTCTAAAACAGTAAACTATGAGATTATGAATTCTTTAGCATAATCATAAATGTGTTCTTTCTCTCTCTTTTTTTCATTTCCCATTAATGGCTATTACAGTTGTGTATCCCTTATCTGAAATGGTTGGAACCAAAAGTGTTTCAGACTTTGGATTATTTTGGAATTTGGAATATTTGCATATGCATAATAAGATATTTTGAGGATAGGACTCAAGTGTAAAGGAAATTCATTTATATTTCATATGTACCTTACACATATAGCCTGAAGGTGATTTTATACAATATTTTTCATACTTTTGTGCTTGACTGCAACCTGTCACAAGGTCACATGAATGGTATCATGTTGGCACTCAAAAAGCTTCAGATTTTGGAGCATTGAATTAAGGTTGCTCAAGCTGTAATTGCTTTCCAGAATGCCTTTTTCACATAAATTAAAGTCCTTAAATTGAAATGTAGATTCAGAATCCCTTCTTTGTGATTCTTTCCAGTATTTTCCTATTATTATTTTTTCTTTTAAAATTCCAAAATGTGGAGAAATAGTAGAGTAGAATAAACTTACTTAGGCAATAATTAAAATTACATAAATTGCCCATGTGGATGATTGGTCGCCAAGTCATTTAATTTACAGATTTTTAAATTTTCTATCATATACTGACACCTAGGAAACGTATAATATAGATGCTAAACTGGCACACATGACACAGAGGACCACAAAAGATGCTTTCTAACTTAGTTGTACATTGAGTGATAGACGTTGGCGTTTTGTGGGAATGGGGGCAGGGAGGAGACAGTGTGTGTATGGCACAGTGTGGAGGTCGGTCAGCTTGGAGTTGAAAGTTGCTATTGAAAGTCAATAAAAGGGGTGGGTATGGTGGACTAGATAAAGAATGGCCTTGAAAGGTAGACAGGTTTAGGCGTGACAGTCAGCTGTTGACTTTTATGAGAACATGTGGATCAGTGTGAGAGATAGGTAAGGAAGCCCCTGGAGACAGCAAGACCCGCCTTACCTCGGGCCAGGCCTGTCCCTCACCATCGTTGCTCAGCCCCAGGGGCTCAGCGTATCCTCCTTCCCTCCTCAGGGCTGTCACCATCCCTTCAGTTTTCTTCCCCTTGTCCATCCCTCAGCCCCGTAGCTTCTCTTTCAGCAGCCAGCCCTGAAACAGACCCTCAGGTGCTTTTCATGTGCAGCAGCCCCTGTATCCACAGGGATGCCTTCCAAGACCCCCACTGGATACTGAGACCTCGGATAGTTCCTAACTCGGAACATACTATGTTCTTTCTACACACATATACCTACGATACAGTCCAATTTAAAAATTTGGCAAAGTAAGAGATTAATAGCAACAAAAATAAAATAGAACAATAATGACAATATACCAGCATCACTACTTTTGTACTTTGGGGTCATTATTAAGTAAAATAAGAGTGACTTGAACAAAAGCACTGTGATACTGCAACAGTTGGCCTGATAACTGGATGGTTCACGTCTCACGTGGGACAGGGTGGAAGAGCGGGAGATTCCATCATGCTACGAAGAATGTTGACTATAGTTAACTGTAACCTTCAAAAGCAAAATGGTGGGTGTGAGGAGACGGCTGTACCATTTCAGGTAACTTATTATTTCCCCACCCTACTCTAGTCAGAATTGTGTTTGT